AGGAAGAAGGAAACCATGCTATTTGTGACAAAATGGATGGACCTTTTGGTCTTATGCTAAGTGAAATAGCCACATAGAGAAAGACAAATACTGCAAGATATCACATATATGGGGATGTTTAAAAAAGAAAAAAAAACACACACAGAGTTGAAAAGGGGTAGCCAAGGGCTGAAGTGTAGGGGAAATGGGAAGAGGTTGGTAAAAGGGTAACAGCTTTCGGCTATAAGGTAAATAAAGTCTGAGGATCTAATGTAAAACATGGTGACTGTAGTTAACACTGTAAGGTATAGTTTTGAATACTTAACATAAAAGCATCCTGAATCAACTCTCATGTGCTACTTTCTAAAGAGGAAAGATACTTCATTTTTTAGGAGGTTTCTGGGCATGGATTTTTGCCAAGTTGGTGTAGGTAGTAGATGAAGTAGAAGCCTCAGGTCATGAGATGACTTATTTCACATAGCTAATCCTAGAAAACCACAATTCCAACAAAGTGTTACAATCAGAAATCATTTGAGTAAATTATCTGATGAAAGTTTAAGAAAAGTAATTGGGTAAATAAAATCATTATGATGGTGATACCACAAAAGGAAAAAAGTCCTCATATATGGATGAATTTTTACACACTGAAAAACTACCTATGTCCCTTGGAAAAATTTGTGATCTAATTTCTTAGCACTCCGTTTTGCTTTGGCTATATACATAAGAACTCAATGATCTCACCATGTACTACTTGGTCTGTATGACAAATTGGTTATCTTATTTATGACTGAATCTCAGTTTATTCTTTGTCTCCAGATACTTTCACACTGCTATGTGTATGAGGGATTGGGGGAAGAAAAGATGCAATTAATTTCAGTCGAACTGATTATTTACCAATGCTTGTAAAAAAAAGACACAGCTGGTTGCATGATTTATTGGCCTATGTAGTCTTTGTGCTTATTGAAATATGAATTGATTAATGTTCTCTGTCTAAACTTTGCTTTGGTTTTAATGGACTAGTAATAAATAGGAGTTTGGGTCAGTTTGATGTAATTCAAAGTAGAAAACAAAGAACAACTAATGAGTAGCTCTCCTAATTTTTTTAAGGCATTCCCTGGAGTGTAGTATTTCCTTTCTAGCTATGCATTGTAGATGACTGTATCTGTTAGCACAGTTGTGTATGTGACACTTGTAATGGCACAGCTAGATTAAAAATGGAGGAAATACATTCAGCCTCTTTCTGTTTTTTAGCATTACTGAAAAAAGGCATCTTCAATTAATTATACTTCTTATTATTTTGTAGATAACACACTTTCAAAGAATTAAAATATAATAAAACATACAGTAGTGCTACTGTATAAACTGTATCTTTCTATTATTTTGAGATCCACTTTCTGGCAGTAGGACTAGTGTCCTTATGAGAAGAGGAGGAGATTATCGGGATACACGTGCACAGAGGAAAGGCCATGTGAGAACACAGCAAGAAGGCAGCCATCTATAAGCCAAGCAGAGAGGCCTCAGGAGAAATCAACTCTGCCACCCCCTTGATCTTGGACTTGCAGCCTGCAGAACTGTGAGAATATATTTATGCTATTTAAGTCACCTTTATGTGGCATTTTGTTATGGCAGCAAATTAATATAGTTGGAAACTGTTCTATATTTTTTAAGTTGTGCTAAAAATAACTCACATCTGTTTTTAGAACTACTAGCATACATGATTGTAAGTGAATGTCAATTGGAGACTTTAAAAAAATTCAGTGTGGATGAAATTAGACACATTTCCATTTCTCTGAGTTTAACATGTTATTTATATTAGAGCAGTAAAGATTTTCACCTTTACAAATAACTTAATTATGAAACATTTAGAAAACATAGGACAAAAGAAAAACATAATTTCTTATCCTACTGATATATTTTGATATATCAACAAAGCCAGTAATAAAAAGTGGAGAAATTAACTCTACACACGTTTATTTAAACTAGAGATTTAAAATTTAGTATATGAATATTGTCATTAAATGTACTTCATATGTACATACACACACACACACTTTTTGAAAGCTATGTCATCAAATTCTACTGCATCAATTTAGCATAATTAATGTAACCAATCTGTTGTTGGATAATTAGAATTTCAAATATTCTCAATTATAAATATGACAAATACGATAAATTCTCTATGACAGATACTTTCAAAAATTAACATATATACATATTTTCAGCTGTCTTTCTTCTTCTAAAGCATTCTCTTCTACCTTCCAAAGAGGAAGGATACTTTGTTTTGGCAATTTCAGGCGTGGGGTTTTGCTGTGTTGATCCAGGAAATGGATGAATTAGAGCAATGTGTAAGTCTAAGAGGCTATGTTAATCCATGTGAGGAAGACACATGCAAGAAAAGAAAAATGTTGAGTTGAAAAGATGGAGAAAAGAGGTGAGAGAGAATAAATGGCCAGTGCTCAATTGTAGAAAAAAGTTTTGGAGAGTAATAGAGAATCAGAGACATTGGGAGCGGCTGCCAAACTGTAATGAGGATTTTAGGGACGATAAACTGGGGAAGATTTTTGGAACTTCTGTGTAGTATGACCAAAATACCCATTCAAAAGTCCTTTTGAGGAATATGAAAATTTTCATTTTTTAAGTATTTTTGAATATTGGATGATGTTTTCTTTAAAAAACACTGATTAAAAACTACCACTTCATTTGTACTACATAAACAGGGATTACATATGTGTGTGTGTGTGTGTGTGTGTGTGTGTGTATTTGCAGCTTAATTCTTGAATACACCCATAATTTATAAATAACATGCTTGATAAAAACGGTGTGCAAAATTTAAAGGTTTTAATCTATGTTTTCAAACTGCTATATAAGAAATTCTTTTTATCCACTGACAGTATTTAAAAGTGCTTGTTTTCTTACCATTTCTTCAACTTTGCCAACTGATAGGTAAACAATGATGTCAAATTATTTCATTTTTTTTATCATCTTTATTGGGGTATAATTGCTTTACAATGGTGTGTTAGTTCTGCTTTATAACAAAGTGAATCAGTTATACATATACATACGTTCCCATATCTCTTCCCTCTTGCGTCTCCCTCCCTCCCACCCTCCCTATCCCACCCCTCCAGGCGGTCACAAAGCACCGAGCTGATATCCCTGTGCTATGCGGCTGCTTCCCACTAGCTATCTACTTTACGTTTGGTAGTGTATATATGTCCATGCCTCTCTCTCGCTTTGTCACAGCTCACCCTTCCCCCTCCCCGTATGCTCAAGTCCGTTCTCCAGTAGGTCTGTGTCTTTATTCCTGTCTTACCCCTAGGTTTTTCATGACATTTTTTTTTTTCTTAAATTGTGTGTGTGGATATTTTCTCGTATTACTTCTCTGTCTCTCTCTCATATTATTACCTTTCTCTCTCTCTCCTTCTCTCTCTCTCTCATATAAATGGCTGGCCTATAAATTTTCTAATTAAAAATTGAATAATATCTCATGAAATATATAGTTTCCAATATTTATTTTATAAGATTTATAGCACAGTATTTTCACTTTAAATGAAATGCAAAACTTATATGTTACATAAAGAAATCTAGTTTCAGGTAACGGTGAGATGTAATGTTTTCTAAAACTACAAAATTTTGTAGTTAGAGCTCTTAGGAAATACTGTTCTTAGTTATCATTCTCAGAATATGGATTATTTCTCTCAGTTAAAAGGGTTGACTTTCAGATTCAATCTTATTAAGTGTAATCTTGAGCTATTTGTAATGAGGTGGATGGACCTAGAGTCTGTCATACGGAGTGAAGTAAGTCAGAAAGAGAAAGACAAATACCGTGTGCTAACACATATATATGGAATTTAAGAAAAAAAATGTCATGAAGAACCTAGGGGTAAGACAGGAATAAAGACACAGACCTACTAGAGAATGGACTTGAGGATATGGGGAGGGGGAAGGGTAAGCTGTGACAAAGCGAGAGAGTGGCATGGACATATCTACCAAACATGAAATAGATAGCTAGGGGGAAGCAGCCGCATAGCACAGGGAGATCAGCTTGGTGCTTTCTGACCACCTAGAGGGGTGGGATAGGGAGGGTGGGAGGGAGGGAGATGCAAGAGGGAGGAGATGTGAGAATATATGTATATGTATAACTGATTCACTTTGTTATAAAGCAGAAACTAACCATTGTAAAGCAATTATACTCCAATAAAGATTAAAAGAAAATCTTCCTTTTAAGAATCTGTCAGAAAACATATATCTAGCTTTCAGAGAAAATTGGTGAGTAAAACACTCATTTATATTTTTATGTTTTGTCTCCTTTGCAGTTTCAGATATTTTCTCCCCTACCTCCTATTTAAGCCTTAGGCCTCCACCTCTGCTCCCCCTTCCCTTTTCTGTTTCTTATTTCAAGTAGTAACATCTATCACTCAGTCACTCAAGGCAAAACTTGCAAATCACATTTGACACCAGCTTTTCCTCTACATTTTCCAAGTGAAATCGTATCAATTTTATTTCCTGAATATATTCAATATGTTTATTTTTCTTGTTCACGGCAAATGGTGCTTAGCATAGGCCCTTATTAGCTCATCGTGGTATTCTTTTTCATAAAATTTTTTAATGCATCTTCCTCATCTAATAAATTCCAAACTCTGTAATCTGGTATATAAAGCCCCCTCTCTTCCGATCTCTTCTCTCTCTCCAACTCTTGCATTTTATATTGAGTTATTTGCTCTTCCCGAAAATTCAACATATTGTATGTCTCTGTTCGTTCTTTTCAAAAACTGTTTGTTTCCTTGGAAGTAAGAGTCTGTGTCATTTCTTTTTCTTTGATTTCCTAAATTTTGCTTTTCTCTTAAGAGTTAGTTTACCTGCCTCTTGAGAGACTATCTGGTATGGCCCAGGTGCTCATCCTTATACTTTTTTTTTTTTTGGTACGCGGGCCTCTCACTGTTGTGGCCTCTCCCGTTGCAGAGCACAGGTTCTGGACGCGCAGGCCCAGCGGCCATGGCTCACGGGCCCAGCCACTCCGCGGCATGTGGGATCTTCCTGGACCAGGGCACAAACCCGTGTCCCCTGCATCGGCAGGTAGACTCTCAACCACTGTGCCACCAGGGAAGCCCCCTTATACGTATTTTTATGATACGTTTCCTCCTTCTTTTAATCTATCTGTATCATGATTAAGCTCTTTGCTCCTCTTCTACTTCTCTGATGATTAGAAGTAACTTTATGTATGGGACTGTCTTATTTTCCTTTGTGCTCACAATATCTCACCTAATAGCATATATACATATATGGTATTAGCATGGATACACACACACACACACACACACACACACACACACACTCTCAATACGTAATTTTTGGACTAAACTGAATGCCATGTCTTCATTTCTCCTCTATTATGAGAAATATAAGAAGTGAGCTGCTCTATAGTTTTTAAAAAACTTTGAACAAGTTCAGAAAATGTTTACTATTGTACTTTCTTATTACATTAGAGGAGGAGAAATCGCTAATCCTTGGCCCCAGGTTTATATATTTAGTGTAAAGGGATATATCTTATAGGTCTTCTTGGTCAGGAAGAAGCTCACATTCAAATCCAGAAAGTTCTTTTTATTTTTTTAACTTTAAAGAAAAACCTCTATTTTATGAACCATGACCTGCCTTCAAGTAACAGCACAGAATTAACCAATAGAGAGGAGACACAAGAAGAAAAAGCTAAAATATGTAGAAAAGGGAGACAGACCAAAGGTAGGCTTGGAATTCACTGGTCTTGATCAAATCTTTAATAAGCTTACAGGCTTCACGTAGCAGAGTTGCACTCACCTACGGATTCCACACAGCCCTTCCAGTGCTTTATCTTATGGATGGAGGGGAGCCTCTGTAAAGTATCATGAAGTGTGGCAACATAATTTAGATTATGAGAATCTAAACTAATTAAGTTTGCTGTGACCATTCTATACCAAGAGCTCTCCTATACATAATTTTTCACATCTTACATAGATATAGACATACACACACAATTGTTTTTTAATTATTTGTCATAATCTTGTTTTCCCTGACTTAAATTCTTTAAAGCTAGAATGTATAAATTATATTTTTTAACTCCATGCACATAATACATTGGTTGTGCTCCAGATATCTACCTGATAATTTTTAGTTTCAAAATTTAAAAAATCTTTTTTTCCTCAGTGAACATTACTAAGAAGTCAATAACTCATCAGTGCATAGGTAATATACACGAGTTCTCTCCTACCTCACCAAGTTGGGGAAACACCTAAAACTAACTAATGGCACTTTTTCCTCTCAAAAATTTGTATAATTTATGGCAGCAGAGGACTGGAGAATTAATGGAAGGGTAAGAAAAAAAAAAAAAGAAGCTTCCCTCTCTTACATTTGAGAGATTATATGCCTCTGAACCCTAGATTCCTTGCATGCCAGGACTGTGACTTATTAATATTTTATCCTCAGTACCTGGCACATAGTGAGTGCTTAAGACATGTCTGAATGAGTTAATGGAGGAGAAAAGTCTAGGTCCCTGACTGTTAAGCAACATCTCAACAATTTAGTGAATGAACAGAGTATGTGTGGGGTAGGAATTCAATCAATCAACACAGGCATGTACAAACCAACTTTCAGATTAGTTAGAACCAGAATGAACTCTCCCTTTGTGGGTTTAAATTTGGTTAGATCTGTGATCTGGAGTCTCAGATCACATCTGTTACTTGATCTTGGATCTTGACAAAAAGTGACAAAGGAGTGGCATTCAATGATACAATCGAGAAATGGATCTCTTCATTCTATTTTTGGGGCGTAGGTCATTTATCTCCTTGTCTTCTTCCTGTTTCGAAACATTTGCAGGTAGCGAGGTGAAGCAGAATCGGCACAGTCTCTCAGTGTCATAACCGGACATGGGGTTGACCATTGTACCACCAACCATAATCACCTACAGGGCACTTTCAGGGCCCTCTGTGCGATGAACTGGACCTGGCAGCACTGGCTGTTGCACGATTGGGGTAAGACACACTTGCACATATGCAACCACTGTGCTAGGCCTCCAGGCTGGAAGAAACTGAAACAAGGGTTTGGTGTCTTAAGCTGAGGCACATCGTGAATAAATACCCAATACTGACCTTAGTATTATGCCAAAGTCAGGAATCTGTCTGAATAACTGAACATGACATTCATTCTCTAACTGCTGAGGCTGAGTGAAGGAAGGTGGACAAGTATATTTTTTGCTTAACTGGGCCTATCACTCTGAAATTTAGCCCCAATCATCTGTCGCACTGAGAGGGGAATGCTGGAATGTTACAAAGCATATTCCCCCAAAATAGAGGAAATGTAGTTCAGAAGCCAGAGAATTCGACTAGTCCCCTCATTTGTTTTTCAAGTTTTGCTCAAATTGGCTCGCAAATTTATCTACTATGCGTTGCACATGGATATTTTTGTCACCGAATGTTTTACAACAGCTGTGATCCTGATGGGGATTTAGTTAACCAAAGGCCCCTCTGCATGCAAGCGGTCACCAGGCATCTAACGGGCTGAGGGCTGAAATGACAATAAAGTGAGCAGAACCATGCAGCTGTGGACCAAATGTAGGGTAATAACTAGCAGTTGGCCATTACGGGGTTAACCGCTGGTGTTCTGGTAAGTGTAAAAAAATGTGGAGGTCCTGCTCAAAAACACAGCCCAAATTCGAATAGTTCCATTGGGTTAGAGTTAAAAATGCTTCTGCTTCCTTTTCAGCTGGTGATTATTTTTAGGACACCCATCTTGTTGGAGTGTCTAACACATATATTATAATTATAATTTTTTGATAATTATGTCGTAGTTTTCCAACATGCTTTTAATCTAAATAAGGGATCTTTGCAGAATATCAGCTTCTTAGTCTCTGGGGTTTCAGTCACTAGTGCCTGTGCCTTTATAATTTCCAGACTTGTTGCATTTACTCTGGGAAGAATTTTTACCTACATTTGTTGAGTTAAAGAGCCATCCATTCTGTTGTTTTAAACAAATGAAATTGTATCACTGCAATGTCAGTCCAAACATGTGTAATTAACATGGAAAATATGTCTGAGCCATATTGGTCAAGATAGATGACTTCCTTGCATGACTTATAAACAGTTAGAGGCATAAAGCCAGGATGTCAAAACCAAGTTGTATACTGCAAAGGTTTATCTGGGAGGACTTTCAAATTACAAAGGAAAAAAGAGACAAAATCAGCCTGCCACGCTTTCTTAACAAGGGGAGCAACTTTCTGCTATCTGTATAAAAATAAGCCTTCTGTCCTCCTTTCGACATGTGTTACTCACCCTGCAAAGGTCAAAATGGACATCTCATTCTTCTGGAAATGTTCATCAAACAATATAATGGTACATGTCAGGGCTTTCAGATCATTCTGGCTGGAAAGGGGCCTCTAAACTCCTTTTAAATTTTATCAGTGACTGTGCACAGAATTCTCTTTGGAATTCTTTGATCAGTGTGGCCTAGGCTCTGAAAGAAAGAGAATTCTATCCCCTGCGTGCTTTTCTGAGTCCTCTGAAAGCTACCAGCTTTGACCTTTTTCTAGGGTTGTTTTCCTAGGTAACGATCCAGTGATACTATTGCTTACAGGTAGTAGAGTTGTAGTCACCTTACCTGCAGATGCTCTTCCGTTCCTTTGCTGGATGAAATGAGCTCATTCGGAGTGCATCTGAAGAATCTTTTTTTGTCCTGAAGTATAACCCAATCCTGTTTTTATGTTATCAGTGGCATCAATTAGAAATTAAGTGTGCCAAGAACCTCTGAGAAAATCCCACTTGTGACTGAATCGCATCCCAGGAAGTATAGTTACCAAGGCATAAGTTAACTTGGGATGAGAAAAATCCAATTTGACTACAGCCCTATACAGCAATACCTCCCTTTCCAGAAGGTGTAATGAATTGTCAGTGTACAGGTTTGTAGACTTACTTATATGGGAAATTCTTCCTCTGAGAAAGGTCCCTTGGTTTCATTCTGGTGGTGCTATGTCAACAAGGTTCTTGACCACTTGGTTCGTGAAAGCTTGCTGTTCATGAACTAAACTCATGTATATTCTAATAGTAAAGGCCTTAGGATGTACAATTCCTTCTTTAATTACCAAGCAGCTTGAGCTCTGAATGGTGTTTTCATATATGAGAGGGTGGGAGAGTGAAAGCAAAAGAGAGAGAGAAAGTGAGGGAGAAAAAGAGGGAGAGAGAGGGGTCTAGGAATATTTTGCTCTACTGTTTCAAAAGGGAAAATTGTCGAAATTGTTCTATCTTGAGGTTACCTGAAGAAGGGTGCTCATAAAATAAGACTGCTTCCTACTGCAGACGTCAGTTTTACTGCGGATTGCAGGAAAGTTTTACATGGATTTTTGATATCTGTCAAGGAAAGGGAAGTTAATGTTCTGCCGGGCAGGGAAGGTAAACATAAAACACATGGGCTCCTCGGAAACTGAACAAAACGTGGAAGCCCTCACTCATCCTTGGGAATGTGGTAAAGCTACGAAAGCAGAACCATCATCACTCCGTCTTTCTTGGCATTTAGTCCCACGTCAGCATTCTAGAAAACCTTCTCTACCCTTCCTTCCATTCCACACCTCTGATAACATCTGATGAGACTGGCAGGATAAAGTTGAATAACTCACGGAAAAGGGATGCATTCCTTTCCGTCTTCACCCTGCTGGGTACCTCAGTATATCGAGGATGGATGCCTTTATTCTAGGCCCCATCCCTCAATTACAGGAGCTTTGCAGTACTCTTATCCGGATGGATTGAAGACCTAATAGGAGAGTGGGAAAAGGATTAGCATCCTCAGAAAAGGAAAGCAAAGAACTTATCAAAACAGGACATAGGGTGCTACCTTGAAGCCCAAAACTCAATTTTATGTTTTTATTTTTCAGACTGATGCCATGAAAACAACTGCCAACAAATCAGTGAGTATAGTGCAAGGGATTTCTTGTTTATCTTTTTAAAGTTGAAGATGTAAGGTAGTAAATTACTATAAGATATATTCTCAGCCAAAGCTAACCTGGGGGGTGTGTTATATAAGTGTGTGGTATACGCATGGGCATATGGTCACATACACATGTATCAAGGAATGGATCGGTCATCCTGAATGTATTCAATATTGTGAATATATTCAATATCTTGTGAAATATATTGTGAATATATTCAATATCTTGTGAAATACTGGGCACTGGAAGTTGGAAGCTGCAGCAAACACAGCATATGCTATAAGCATTTCACCTATTAAAGTATCTGACACTTGGCAGGTGCATTCAAGAATGACCGCTCTTGGCAAGTCCATCTTAGCCTTGCACACGAACAATAAAGAGAAAGGAATATTTTCAGTCTGGCAGAAATAAGCAACAGGTGCTAAAGGCCTTGTGCTGTAGTTTAACAGGAGGGAGTATACTGAACAGTGTGAAATAAGCAGACATAATTATAACGTACTTGTAATGAAAACGATGGCTCCTAATTAATTCTGGTCTAGACTTGTTCAAAGACCCTGGGGCCAGCACACCTTAGGGGAAGGATTTTACCCTTTAATAATAACACAATGCATAAAATATTTAGTAGTGTACCCTTCATAGAGTAAAAAAGTCCCTTAGGGATTCTAAAATCTAGGGCTGTTTTTTCTGACGTGGAGCTTTAGTGGTCATCCCATATGTTCAGGGCTGTGGAACCTCCAGTATGTCCTTGTCTAGAATCTATTTGTCCACTCTTTAGCGTAAGGAGCTTAATCCAGTATTTTATCCTCATCTCTCATTCATTCTGGTTCTTGAAACAGATTAGTTATTGCATCAAGGCTGCTATTCACCACACATGTGAGATCTCTAATGTCACAAGCAGTTATTCTTGAGTGACTCCTGTTCTAGATGCTGTCAATGAAGATGGTATAGCCCAACGTTCATACACCATTGTATCCCTACTGTATCTTCTGTGTCTAGTGCTTTGTTTGCAAGATTACTAAGAATGCAATAGGGCAATCTTGACAATTGTAGTAAAACTGACAAAAATATTTAGGCTCTGGAGTAAGATTTGCCAAATTCAGAACTGTTTCTAAATCCTGCATATGTGGTTTTGACTTGATTAGTTCAATTCCCCAAGGCCGTTTCTTTTTCCATAAAGTGAAGATAATAAAAGTCTTTACTTCACAGGCTCTTTTGAGAACTGAGTTAAGTAATTCATATATTTACCTTAGTAGGATATCACATTGTGTTTATTTGAATATGTTACTTTCAATTATGTTTTCTAGAGTAAATTCCATTGAAAATAACAGAGTGGGAACAGGGGTTGCTCTGAAAGAGCATATGATATTCACACTTCTCTAGATGCAATTTCTAGGATAAACCTTCTTCCTTTATTGTGATCTGGGGCTTTGCTACGTAAAGTGTGGTCCGTAGACCAGCAGCATTGGCATGGCCTGGGAGCTCGTGAAAAATGAAGAATCCTGGGTTCCACCCCAAACTAACTGATTCATAATCTGTATTTTAATGAGATCCCAAGCGATTTGTGCGCACTTTAAAATTTGAAAAGCTCTGGTCTATACAGCTAAGGTCCTTACGTGTCCTTTTAGATTTTCCTGATCTTACGCCTAATTTAATCATGTTTATTATACCTGTATATTTTTGTTAACCCAAATGTTTACTTTTAAAATTTCTGAATTGCTAGACAAGTCTTTCAGAATAAGTGACACTTTATTGATGCACGGTATTTTAATTTTTCTGGTACACACTCAGACCCCCAAAGCCATATTGATGCTACGTCCCCTCCCTTTTCTCACCCCGAAACACCTTAAAGACTCTCATCATTTGATTACTAGATTTTGATTTGCCTGTTTCTAGAGAAACTACTAAGACATATTGGGCATTCCCTCTTCTGATTCTGAAATTGAAATAACATCTATGTGGGGCTTAGTGAGAGAAATTTAAGAAAGGCATGGATCATTGGATCATTGCTTCATTCCATAAATTACTTTTCTTGACTGTATTAAATTGTTGATAGATTTAATTCTGCCTTGAAGAAAATGTTTAGTTGAAAAAAAAATGTTTCGAGACAAATTTTGACCATGCTTAATAGAAGACAAATGCATTCAGATAAATTGAAATTAATTCAAATTAATCATTTAAAAGTTCAGGTAAAGATTTTTTTTAAATGATTGGTACAAGGTTCTGCTAAATTTACATATTTTTTCCCTTTTAAATAACACTTTCAAGTTACATATAGTCCTTTAACTTTTTTATGTGTAACACTATTATTATTTCCAATTAATGGGGATATTTTCCATACCGATTTTTTTTTTTTCACTTACTATTCGACCACCATCTCATAACAAGGACAGCTTGCGAGTGCGTGTTAACAAAGTCAAACACTACAAATGAACTTCACAGTTCTCTGCACTGCTCATTCTCACCTCATGAATCCGAAAGTGTCTATGAATTTGAAAGATTGCTGCTGGCGGATGATCTCACCTTCCACACTTCCATATTCTCTGGTTACGGTTTTTCTCCTGTAAATGGCTCCCTATACTTGGAGCTGCAGTGCCAGACTTTCTAGACAGGCATAAATTACTGCTGTGTCTCCCTTCCTCTTTTTCTTCATTTATATTTCATACTGTATGACAAAGTGAAACATTGAGTAACGGATGGTGCTAAAGGACGGTGACTATTTACTGTGTTTTTTTCGTGCTCTGGGCGTTTTATATGTCTGAAATACCGAACTGTATGATACTAGAGATCAAACAAGAGGACTTGAAAATTTTCATTTGTTGCAAGGAAGCTCTGGTTTTATAAAGGCAGCTGCAAATTAGACTTTAATTGCTAACTGAAAGGAATGGTTGCAATATGTTGTCGGGCAAAATATGAAAAATACAGAAAGGTCAAAGTAGTAAAGTATATATCCACTTACCTAGAGCACTGAATCATTCACTGAGCTGACATTCCTGCTGTAAACTCACTCACTTTCATAAAAGATTTTTTTTCCGTTTTAGGAACAAGAGAGATGTCTGTGTCATGCCAGCCCTAATACCTAACCCATCTTAATGGGAAGGGCAGCAGAGCAAATACCTTTCTTTCTCTTACTTGGTTCATTTTTAATTTATAGGCTTTAAAACTATTTATCAACTAACTTCCTTCCTCCCTTCCTTCCATTCTCTTTTTTCCCAATAATCTTAAACTTTCTCCTGAGGGGAATACCAGTTTTCTCCTCACTGTCCATGTAGTACGTGCTCCCTACAAATTCTTTATTTTTACCCTAAAGATAGAGGCTGTCTTATTTTCTGAGACAGACTGGATGCCAATTTTTAAAAATTTAAAACAACTAATAGTGGTAAACTCTGTAATTTCTCTCAAAAAATTTTCCCCCAAATTAGGGCTTGACGTTATACTGGAAGTGAAATGCTCAAGTTAAAAGAAGGAAGGAAATGAATATTTATTGAGGGTCTACTATGTGCCAGAAGTTTTCCCTACATGATTTCTTTTAATCCTCATCACAGCACTGTGTGAGAGCTGTTATTCTCTCTAATTTGCAGTTTAACAACTGCAATTCAGACAGTCAGGAGCTTGCCCAACATCATATAGCTACTAAATCTGTATGACTCCAAAGTCTTTCCCACTTGATTATATACCAGTGTCCTCTCCCTCAATTTTGCAAATGAGACCCATGAGGAGCAAAGAGACTGGGGGCTTAAATTGGTGTCTGAGTTTGAACTGGATAATAGGTTCTCTGTTCATCCCACTGTGCCATTGGCAATACAAAGATGGGGAAAAAACTTGTGCAACTGGCCCTAAAATTAAAATTCACATTAAAATATCTGTAAGAAAATTTACCATGTTCATTTTCTTGAGGGGTGGAATCTATTAATATATTTCCTGTCTGTTACTGACAATAAAATCTCATGTGATTCCTCCTCATGTTTCTTTCTATCTCTTTCTCTCTTCAGTGCCATGAGTTGATCAGACCCCAGAGATAACGACTGTTATTTTTAAGGAATTCTGTATATGGTTGCAGGCAACACAACTTTCTCGTCTCCATGGAACTGGAGCAGAGGTCAGATTATGCTGGGCCAAACTCCAAATCTATAGAACGGATTTTCTATTTTCCAACCATTAAGGCGGACTGTCCTCATAAATTTATGTAACTGTTCAAAGAGTGAGCCTTATCTTTTTCCTATTTCTCTCTCTAACAACTTCTTCCTCCCAACTTCAGAATTGAAACACAGTAGGGACTCGTAGTACAATAAATATTTTTGCATATTTGTTACTCTTTTTTTCCTCCCACCAGAGTTTACACAGAACAAGAACTCCACAGATGATAAACAGATACAGATGTTTTCCATGACTGTTACCATATTTACAAATGAAAATGTAAGATTTGGTAGGTTAACAGTTAGTTAGACTGGGGGAAAGGATTGAAAACGTTTCAAGGTTGTGTTAAGACCTCTTATACCCATTGCTTTTGGAGAGGTAATAAAAAACAAAAACAAAAACCACATAGCAAAATCTGAACATCACCTGCCTTAGAGGTGTGCAGAAAGTAGGCCATACATCCTCTGCACCCAGGCCAGCTTGAACTACTCCCTGTTCCTTAAATATACCTTGTTCTTTCCCTTCTCTGAGCTTCTTTTTAAGATGTTCCCTCTGATATAACTGTCCTCTCTTCCTCCCCTTCTACCCGTCACATTTCCACACATCTCTCAACATTGGGTTTAAATGCCACCTCCTTCATGCCGGCCTCCCATGAGCTGAGGGTCAGGAAGTCCCTTCTGTGTGTGACTGTAGCAGTTGGAATACAGATCTTTTGTAGCACTTACCACTCACTGTACTAAATCTGGAATATTTTTATATCGTTATATCTATCTTCCTTATAAGGTAAAGAATTGTTTCTGTATATCAAAAAGTATAATCCTCACTCTTTTCTATTTTTGTTCACTGGGCTTCTGGGACGTCATGCTTTCTCAGTTCTCCTCCTCCCTCACTGGCCATTTCTTCTTGGCCTCTCACTCTTTCCCTCCCTCCTTCTCTCCCTCTTTTGGTTTTAGTTCCTCAGTCTGGACTCTTCACGATGTAGTAAAGCTTGGTTTTTTAACTCGATCAATATCCACTCACTCCCAAGATGACCTTATAGAATTTTACAGCTTTAAATACCATCTAAATGCTGATGACTCCCAAATATATTATCAAGCCTGGATCTCTCCCTCAACTCCAGATTTATCTCCACCTGTGTGCCGAATCATCTTCACCTGCCTCCTCACTTGGCATCTCACATGAAATGTGTCCAAAACAGAAATCGTAATTCCCCCCAACCCCCGCCCCACCAAAACTTGCTTTACCTTCCCCTCCTTAGTAAATGGCAACCAGCATTTTAGAACCATCGATTCATCTCTTTCTCTTAATTCATGCATACAATCTTTCAACAAATCCTGCTGGTTCTATTTTCAAAATATATTCAGAATCTGACTACTTCTCATCATTTCATGTCTATGACCCTGATCCAAGCCATAATTATCTCTCATGCGGGATACTCAGTGGCTTGCTAACTGGTTTCTCTTGTCTCTACACTCACATCCTACCGTGTGTGTGTGTGTGTGTGTGTGTGTGTGTGTGTGTGTGTGTGTGTGTGTGTGTGTGTGTGTGTGTGTGTCTGTTCAAGAGAGCAACCATCCTGATTTAGGTATTATTTAAACTTAGATAATGTCTTCTCTTATTCAACCCCTCCAAAGGCTCCCATCTCGCTCATGGTAAAAACCAAAGTCTTTGCAGTGGCTTACAAGGCCCTATATAGTTTGGCTCCCTGTTACCTCTATGAACTCATCCTGTGCTTCTTCCCGCCCCAGGTGTTCAGTTACAGCATCACTGGCCTTTTCTTCAAGTGTTCAGTGTTCCTCCACCTCAAGGCCTTTGTGGCTCCCTCTGTTGGGAAAGATCTTCCCCAACAACCTATATTTTTTGGCACCCTCATTTTTTTATCCATCTTTCTTCATATTTTCCCATTATAAGCTTATTTCCCCCAGTACTAAGTTCTCTGGTCATCCTGTTTAAACGTCAACCCACCCCCTTCCTTCTCTGCTTGTTATTGGTGTTGTTTCCGGTTTTCTTTTTTTGTTTTCATAGCCCACCTTTCAGACGGTGCATGAGAGCCTGCCCCAAAGTAGGTGCTCAATGAACGTTTTCAGATTTGTTGAATTTCATAGTGCCTTCCGTGCACATAGTAGGTGCTCGCTGTCTTTCAATCGACAGTGTGAAGCTCCAAATTATATTTTGCACCAGAAAGGGGAATACAGATTTTTATCCATTTCATGAATTTTTCACAGTTAACAAGAATTGAAAGTGGTTGTATATCAGAAACAGGTGTGTTTCATCTGTATATAGTAAAACACTAAGTTTCAAAGAGTGGAAAATTTTGGTTGTTCATAGCAGAAGGAACTATGGAACCAACAACAGGTTCATTGAGCCAATGGCTATGTTAAAATACAGACAGTGCCACATAACTAGGAAAATGCTCATTCAAATGCTCGAAGGGCGCCTTTGATCATGTTTAAGTAAAGAAATTATGAAATGCTTTTCACTTAAAGTCTTCCTGACACAACCACAATTTGGCAATTGTTCTCAAGCATAGAAGCCAGAAAAAGATAAAACATGGTGGCCTTCTGCTCTAAACCCCATAAATAATTTTATACCCCCAAATAAAACAGTTAACAATAAGACTTTCTGAGTGAAAGGAAGAGATTTTGTAAGAGCCATTCACACCATAACAGATGTGCTGTCTTGCTTCAGCCTTACTTTGTATCTTTCCTTTACCCTTTTCTCTCATTGAGAACCCTATGGCATAAAGTTTCATTTCAAAGATTTAAAATAGGACATGGAATCCTAGGCAGACTTAAGAGCAGTTGTACAGAGCAATCTATTGTGGATTTTGCGACTCTTACACAACATGCATAGTTTCCCTGGGACCAGGATATTTTTGCCCTAAAACTGGCCCAGTTCCCCTGCACAAGATCATCCTCCTTGTTCAGAAATAATGGTAGAATCGAAATAGATACCACTCAGATTGAAAGAGTCCGTTCTAATCCAATAGAAAACTACTGGCAATTCTCGGAGGTCACTGAGTTTAGGATCTAGAGATCATCTTCACGTGTCAGAACACTGGACTGCAAAAAGCTCCAGAGACAATTTTGAACCACCTAAGCAATTTTCACCACCTTCAGTGTAAGCACCTAGAGGATTTACTGACAAAAGTATGCTGTGCATGCATTTTTTTTTGAGCATTAGATTGGCAAAAATGCCCTGGATATTTGAGCATAGCCTCCTTTGTCTCTTTCTTTTAACCCTGCCAGACCTCCCTAAGATATATGCCACAGAGAAGCCCCCATCCTCCGGTGTCCATGATGAATGATTTGGGAATAGTCCAAACAGTAAGGGAGGGATTTAGCCCAGCTTCCTTGACTCTAGCCCCATTTATTTATGAGAAGGTTGTGAGGAGATTTACAGGGAAAGTAAAATATTCCATAGTGTGGCTTTTTATGCAGACCGGTGCTTAGGAATAATCATTGCTGTCACTGCTTTAATGTCGAAGGGAAAAAAAAAAAAAAGACTTCTGCAACCCATGTAGTACAAAAAAAGAAAACAAAAAAGCAATAAAGGAAAACCAGGAGTTGGGTAGTTTGATAGTTTGTTTCTAGCTTCTTATTTTATCATTACACCCTTTGCTCCAGAAACTTTACTTTTCTCTAAATTCCGTCAAACTTAATTTCTTCATCTCTGTTCTCTCTTCTCCATTTGTGTGTGAGCGTCTGTGTGTGTGACGATAATTTTTAATACCCACAGTACTTCATTATTCCTCAGAAAGACCCTCAAGAGTACATGCCAATAATTTGTCCATTGTGTAAATGATGAAACCAAAACTCAGAAAGTGAACCTTTCTGAACCTAATGTTGATAGGGAAAGAAAGGTAATGGTAGGGAGAGCCCAAATTCAAACTTAGATGCCCCTGACTTCAAAGCCTTGTAGTTAATCACTGTGTCTTCTTGCCTCTTATGTAGAGGAAGAACTTCTGCTGTTTGCTTGCTGGCACAGGCGAGGTCTGTGAGCAGGCCTCTCATATGCCTGGCTCATCGTGCATCCCCTGGCCAATGCACTTGCTTCATTGCTTTCCATGCTTGCTCTTTACTATGAGAACAGAGTCCTTCTGGGTAAGGAAGTCATTCATTTCCACGTTAAATAATCATGGAGATGCGGGTTTAAACAGAATAGCAAGCAGAACATCGAAGCCTTATTTAAACTAGAGAGCTGTATCCAGTATTTCTCTTGCTTTTTTTTCATTTCAACTTTAGGTTTTCAGTACAAAAGAAGAAGGAAAAATCAGCGATGCCTGATTTCTTTTTCCTAATATTTTCTTATGGCAATTTCCAAACATAAAGTTTGAAACTTTTACAACAGTAAATACCCATACAGTCAGCATCTAGTTTCTATAATTTTGCATGCTTTACTTTTCACCTCTCTATCCACTAATCTCTCTATCCACTAACCTATCTTATTTATCTGATACATTTTAAAGTTAACTGCAGATATCAGTGCCCTTCACCTCAAAACAGTATGAATATCATCAACCAGGGTTCAATATTTATTGACTCTTTTTTGTTAAGGTAAATTTTATGTAAGGTGAAATGCACAAATCTTGTGCGTCATTTGATGATGTTTGATGTGTATCTACATCCACGTAACTAAAACCTCTTTCAAAGTATAGAATATTACTATGCCAAATCCAACATAATCCTCATCTCCTAGCCCCCCTGCTCACAGAGACAATCACTGTTCCAGTTTTTACATCATGGATTACTTTTAGCCATTTTAGTCTTCATAGTCATTCAAACAAATCACATAGTAACCACTCATTTGTATAAGATTTC